GCAGGAAGGCAGGAAGGCAGGAAGGCAGGAAGGCAGGAAGGCAGGAAGGCAGGCAGGAAGGCAGGCAGGCAGGCAGGCAGGCAAGGACGGAGGGAGGAAGGGAGGAAGGAAGGAAAGAAAAACAGAAAGACAGAAAAAAAAGGAACAAAGAAGAAAGAAGGAGAAGGAGAAGGAGAAGAAGGGAAATCAAGCAAGAGTAAGAAGAAGTATAAGTAGAAGATCGTAGAAGAAGAGTTATATAGAAGAGAAAACAAACTAAGAGAATCTGAAAACAAAACACAGAAACACATGCAGGTCACTTGAAGCGGACACTTTTTGTTTTCTTTGGCCGTTTGTTGCTCCAGACTTCTTGAACCTCCAAAAAGGTCATGGTTTTTCTTACCATGTTGCATGGTTTTGAGAGTTTCCGCAAAGCCTCGCGCATGGTTTCGATGCGCTGTTCATCGAAAGGGATCGACCTGACCTTGGGCTCCGGACCGTTCGAACATCGAATGACCAGTTGGTCGTCGCAGGCAGCTGCCAAGCCCAAAGGGGCACCCAAGGCTGCTGCCCAGGCTTTGGCTATGACTTGCTGGATCAAAAGATGTCCAGAACCTTCAAAGACCCGATTTGTTTGAGCGATTTCCGTGTACATGCCCGCAATGCTTTGCCTTTTCAACGCCATTGGCTTCAGAATGGGCTTTGGTAGTGAATCCGCGATGAAAGTTAAGAGGTCAAAGACCAAATTGTTTCAGCAACTGAGCTGGAATCGCGTACGATGGCTCAGAAAGGCCAGGTAGCCTTGAGGACGTCTCTATATGAAGGTCCCCTTTTCCTGTTGACTCTGCGAGCCTTGTGAGGCCCTCAGCTCGCCCTCGTCCAGTCAAGTGAATGAGGCAGGACGAGCTGACGAGTGCAGGGGTCGGTTGGCGTGTTATGCACCCAACTCCAAACTCGTTGACGTTCCAACTCCTGGTGCAGGGCAAGGGTGACTTGGATGAACCAAAGTCGCTTCTGCGCAGTTTCATTCATGCCGCGGCAATCATGCGGATGAAAGTACAACACATGATGCAACGTGATTTTCAAGATGGTGATTGGATTAGAGAATCTCACCGGTCACGAGATGTTCTTCCTTGTTTGAATGTGAACCAGATCCATGTGGAACATGTCTTGGCCTACCAAGTCAGTAGATAACCTTTAACCTTTTTGAGGGACTGGTTTCCCCACAAAAAAGATGAAGAGGTGGAAGAAGATTAACCTTCATTTTTCCGGGCAAACTGAGGGAAGTGAGTTGGGAACAGGGCTGCGCATGACAGCACATCATCCTCCCTGGGGCTCCGGGCTGGCCGCGCGGCGTTTTGGCCGCTCAGCTGGCTGAGTGGACGGTTTTACCATGGAAGGCGCCTCTCGATTTTTGAGGTCATTTTTGGTCCCACCTTTCTTCTTCATGCATTTCTCAAGAGATGCCAAAAAGGGAACGCCCCATGCAGACCCCGCTGGGCTCTACTTCAAAAAACGCCAGAAAGTTGAAGCTGAAGTGGATCGACCCAAGTCATAAGGTTTGCACATCCTCATGCAGCTCGGATATTTCGCCTTTTATGTGGTCCTTCAGTTCGTGACTTCTTCCCGCCCAGTGGTCGAGCAGCGGCTGCTATCAGCAATGCTTTCGTTTGGGGCACGAGAAACTCGTTTGATCATTCAATTCACCCAGGAAACCCAGTTGGGGCATTCAGTCGTGGCCCACCTGGAGCCCATGTAGTCAGTCCACGTAGTCCGACAGAACCGCCCGGTCAGTCGCCCGTGAACAGTCCCAGGCACCGGCAGATGGGATCTGGAACGCTTTGGTGGAGGCGGTTTCGCGCACGACACTCGCGCAGCTCGAGGAGCTGGGAAAACACGTGGGGCGTGGGCTAACACTAACACGTGTGACCAAGCGGTCTGGAGATGTCTTGCTGTGGCGGAAAGACAATGCAAAACTCTTGAAAGTGAAGGGCACAGACCAAGAGATGATAGAAGCATCCACGGATACACTAGAGGGATGCACTCCCTAACAGAATCATGGAAGAAGGACGTGGAAAATAGATGAACATAGGTCCCTCAAGGATCCTAGAGGGACAATTTTCCTTTACACACAGGTGGCATCCCACTTCCATGTTAGTGACTCGGAGAGTACAACAACCAGGCAACATGACACAAATATGGACACTTGTATGCTTGAAATCTCAGTCTTTAGGCTCCAAGTAAGTAGAGCAAGAGCAACAACCCGATGACAGCGATGACTCTCTCTATATAAGTATTCCTTTTTTCCGCTGTGGAATTTCTTGCGTCGTCCCGGTGGTGTCCGACTGCTGATCTGGAGCAGGTTCTGACACTCAGCGCCCACATCCTCGCAGAGGACCCTTCTCAGTTGCCTTTCCAGGTGGGGTCGGCCTAAGGACATCATCGCTTAAGCTGATCATCACCTTAGATGTCGCGTTGGAACACATCCATCTCACTGCACCCTCGTGGCCAAGGTTATTGAGTAGTTCAGGGCGTCCCGATGACCAAGGCTTTCGCAACGCCTCACTGAGTCCCTTTTCCAATATGGTCTGAAAGGATCCAAGATCCCGGCGGAATGGGCTCCTAATCCTTCCCTGAGGGAGTCAAACATAAGTAAATAAATATAATATATATTTTTTTTTTGGACATTAGACCTTCTTGTCACCCAAGGAATACAGTTTTTTTGCCTCCAATGTTTGTCGATTTTGGGGTAAATGATGGTAAATGAATTGAGGTACCTTATCCTCAATGGGCCAGGAGCCTTTGAACGCCTTTGCTTTTCACAGCGCCATGAGCGTTTTGGGTTGAACCTCGGAAGCACAAACATGTCCTGCGCCGGGGCCTCAGGTGCTTGGACGCCTGCTGGGTTTCGAGGTGTGCTGGGTTTCGACGGATGTTTTCGGAGCGGAGGCTGTTGGATGGGAGTTGGTGCTGGCGAACGGACGCATGTTTTTCCCCAAACAGTGTGGTCAAACCCATGCCAAGCGGTTGGCTTATTCACCCTTGTCTCTACTCAACTCAACACAGTTTGGGGTCTCTTGTCCATTTTGGACCAGAAGCGGCTGCCGGTTTTTCCCCTTTGTTGCGGCCGAATATGACGGGTGTTAGAGAAAACGGGTCCACGAAGGCTAACACTCAGACTTCTAATTTGCAGGGGTTCGGATAGAATCCAGGTGCCTTGTGCTATTTTGTTTCTAAAGATTATAGAGGTGAAGTGACATCCTTCTTTAGCCCAGGGACATACCTTCTGATCAGGTGGTTGTTTGAAAGCTCACCTTGCTGATTGACGTTGCCCGCAGGAGGAGCCTGGAGGCACGTCTTCAGGCAGAGTGCACTGGAAGATACGAAACAGTGGTCCCAAAGACTCAGACCGTAGACGCCGTAGACCTCGAACCCTATGAAGCCCTGGTTCCTGATTCATTACATAGTGGTAACTGGGATCCACTGGGATGAGAGAATGCCAGCATGTCCGATAGTTCAAAACTCTCTTGATCACATGATCACATTTCCCAACCCCTCGGGCAATTTGTAGTTGTTGCTGGTGCTTATTGGTGCCTACATGAGGTGATTTTTGTTTGAGTTTTAGGATTTGAGCTGCTGACAATATTGGTTCATATTTTATCCAATTGAGGAGTACGAAATGGTTTTGAACCCACCCGCTGGGCAGACTGGCCTGGCTGTTTGATCGTGCTGACGTCCTGGTTGTATGTGAGCGTCGTTCAAAAACCCACCTCTTCCTTGTTAGTGATCGAATTT